ATGATGCATTATTTAACGACGATGATAGTAGTACTGAAAAAGTATCAGAGAACAAATAACGAAGACGACGGATTTTATGGATTTGAAGATGAATAAAATTTTAATGGAAACTGTGCTGTTTTGCTCAATTGTAATAAATGCTTGATTTTTATTTATTTTTATTTTATTTCTTTGGATATAATAAAAATTTTATAGGCTAGTGTTCCTTTGTTCCTGTTATTTATCGTTTAATTGCAATCATGGCTTGTTTAACCAAAATAATATCTCATAAATATACTCTAAGCTGTACCATTTACTAATAATTTTTATTAATGTTACTAATTACTAATTTTTTCATGGTTTGCCCTGCTGAAACTGGTGTGCGTCTTATACACCCGTGCGACTTATATGTCGTCAAATACGGTAGATATATAATTAATTCATCGAGTCTAGAAGAATCCTCAACCAAATGCAGAAAGCTATATATATATATATACGATAGCTATAAGCATAGAAGATCGCAGGGTAAGCCCGGCCATGCATCAACATCGGCGGCAAAGCTGAATATCCATGGTTCGAAGCTTCTCCTCTTCATTTGGTGGGATCAGCTGGGTGTAGTTTATTATGTGCTGCTCAAACCTACCGAAACCATAACAGGAGATCGCTATCGACTACAATTGATGCGTTTGCGCCGAGCATTGAAGAAAAATGGCCGCTATGCGAGCAGAGACACGACAAAGTGATTTTGCAACATGACAACGCTAGGCCACATGTTGCAAAACGGGTGAAAACTTACCTGGAAACGTTCAAATGGGAAGTCCTACCCTACCCGCCGTATTCAACAGATATTGCCCCGTCCGATTATCACTGGTTCCGATCGCTGGCACATGGTCTGGCTGAGCAGCAATTTCATTCTTATGGAGATGCCAAAAAATGTGTCGAATTGTGGTTAGCCTCAAAAGACGTGTCGTTTTTTGGATGTGGAATTCAAATGCTGCCAGAAACATAGGAAAATGTAGTGGCTAGCGATGGACAATTATTTTAGTGATAGGTTTCTTGTTTTGTACATAAAACATTACTTTTAATAAAAAATCAGCGAGAACTTATTCAAGGTTCTAATATATATATGATACCCTTATATATATAATATATATATATAATTTACATGTATTATATATGTAATATACATGTATTATATATATATGTAATATACATATATTATAAATATGTAATATACATTTATTATAAATATAAAATATGTAACATCTTTATAATAAATAACGTACGTAACATCTTTATAATAGTGTATATATCAGGTCATCCCATAAGTTCTGTCCGAATTTTGAATAAAGAAAACAAGTGACCAAATGTTACATTTAATTACATATTCAATCAACAATGTATTTTCCCTGATTATCTATGACTTCCTTCCATCTATTAACAAGCTTACTAATTCCATTACTCTAAAATTCTTTTGGCTTTGATTCGAAGAACTCGCAAATGTCATTTTTAACATCTTCCTGTTATTAAAAAGCTGTTTCTTCCAAATGATTCTGTCAGCGACGAAACAAATGGTAGTCTGAAGGAGCAAGATCGGGAGAATAAGGTGGATGAGGAATTTCCTCCCAACCAAGTTCTTCGATCTTTTGTGACGTGATTCTTACTGTGTGAAGTCGCGCATTGTCCTGATGAAACATCACCCTTTTCGATTCACTAGAGCTGGTCTTTTTTTTTTCCTCAAAGCTTGGTTCAAACGCTCTAATTGCTGACATTATATTTGAGCATTAATTGTTGCATTAGGTGGTAGAATTCAAAGTGGATTATTCTTGGCGATCCCACCAGATTGAAAGAACCTTTTGCCCATGAAGTTCCTTCTTGGCTGTGGCTGGGGTCCTTCCCTTTACCAAGCCACTGATAAAGATCCATTTTTCGTCGCCAGTCACAAGTCAATCCAAAAAAGGTGAAACAAGTTGGCGAGAATGGAGAGAAGAGCAGATGTCAACTCGGGATTTGAGGTTGTTTTCAGACAATTCATGAGGCACCCATTTTCCAAGTTTAGGAACTTTTCCAAATTGTTGAAGATGACGATGAACAGTTGTATGGTTTGAACTGAGAACCACTGACAATTCCTCAACTGATAAAGCAGGATTTTCTTCAAGGGCTGCTTCAAGAAGCTTTTCATCAAACTCAACTGCAGATTTAAATTTTTCCCACTTGTGACGAATGCAGCTATCGATTTCTTTTTGCATGCTAACATGCTAGTTAACATTCACTCAGTCAGCTGTTGGGTATCACGCTGGCCAATAGAATCTTCCTGCCTATTCGTGGCAGCCAGATATTGGCTCTCACTCTGGCCAGTACAAAATGGCCGCAAACTACATGAAAACTGCCGTAGAAGCATGAAAAAATCGATTATTTCTACTATCGATGGGAGTTGGGAAATGCAAAGTCGGTCTTGGCCTTCCTGCATGTGCATGTAAATTTTGGTGCAAATGCGTCGTAAATTGCGGCCGTGCATTCGTTGCACACACACACACACACACACACACACATCCTGTCTTTTATAGATAGAGATACTATATGCATATATAATATATATATATATTATATATACATATATATTATATATATACTTATAAATCTTATATATAATTTATATGTATATATTCACATATATAATATATAGTACATATATATATATATATATATATATATATATATATATATATATATATATGTATGTATTATATATATACAGTGTGGAAAATAGGTATTTCATCCCCTGCTGATTTTCTGAGTTTGCCACCTTACCAAAATGGGAATGTCTATAATTTTCAGGGTAGGTTCGTCTTGAAAATGAGAGAGAGAATAAAAAAAGATTTCCAGAAATTTCACATTATATCAATTTTTGGCATCTGAAAATAAATATAATGACAATATATATATATATATATATATATATATATATATATATATATATATATATATATGTGTGTGTGTGTGTGTGTGTATGTGTGTGTGTGTGTGTGTGTGTGTGTGTGTGTGTGTGTGTAAGTGGATGTATCACAGATGCCGATATTCGTGGTTGAAATGAAATGAACCATTTCCATTCCGTCAGAAGAACAATGAAACAAATTTTCTATTGTCTATTATATAATCCGATTACCTTAAAGAAGGTTGGGGGGCAATTCAGCCAATTCTTTCTATCACTCATACAGTGAAGCAAAAACCCATAATAACATATCTTAGCCAAATATATTTTTAAAATAAAACCATACTATTCCTTAGCTGAGACCTGACGATGTATTCATAGGAAATGTGTTAATATACAAACACGGTTCGCACATGTAACTCAAAAATAATATAATGACATAATCAATATTTGAACTTTTCACAATACCTTAAACAAAATTTTAAGAGGGAAACTGGAATCATTACTAGATCTAGCGATAGGTGATATTTGTCATATTTTCTAGAAAATCTCTTAAGAGAAAAATTTATTAAATTTCAACTGACATTAACACTTTCTCTCGTGCAATGCATGTCGAATGTTTGCTGTATTGAAACGGTTAATCTCATTATTACCTGTAAATACTTTTAAAACTCGTATGTTATCTCTCCACAGCAGGGTATTTGGAGACAGAGAATAAGCGAAAAAAATGTTAACACCGTCATTTGGCTAGACTTTATCCGATACAGAATTTGTCTTTGATGCAAATTAAAATTTAATTTTGTTTACTTTTATATTACATCAAGAACAAACAATGTCTTTTTTTATTTCTGTTTTTGAACTCGCCCGGTTTGTAGATGTCTTTGCTCAAATTGGTAGCAGCACATTGACTGTTTTGTCTGAGCTATACCTTTTGTGACCCTTGATGCGAATATCATTAGATTTATTAAAGTAACCGATCAAATGTGGACGTACAAATGTGCAGTGTAGTAAGACATTTTTCTTAGTTTTTTTTATCTTTTTCCCTTGCTTACCTCCGCTTTAGTGTCATAAAAATAGTTGTAGAAATGAGAAATAAAGGAAACAACTAAATTACTTCCTTTTATTATTATTTTTTTTTGTCTCTTGATTTAGAGTTCGAATGCTGCTGCCCGCCTTCTATCACAATCAATTAGTTTTGACACCATATTTGTTTTCTTTCATACACGAAAAAAGTACGTGAAGAAAATATTAAAAAAAAAAAGAAAAGAAAAGATTTATTATCAATTCTGAGATGAGGTATTATGTACACTATTTACATTGTTCGGAATATCATCCTTATCTTTGTTGCCATATTTATCACAACGTTTCGGCCGTTGTACGCTCCAGTCTTCTTCAGGTATTTCGCTCGTTGCGGTAGACTGTTCTAGTTCCATGTGCCATGTCTAATGGATGTCAGTTATCACTTATCTCCTGTTCATTCCCCTCTCCAAGTTCTCCACCGCCTTAACTATGTATTGAACTCACACTTCTGTCACTGGATCAAACTAACGCCTTTATTCACTGTGCCATGTGTCTTTGAGGACATCTGTTTTCAGCAACCATTTTTTTTACCAGTGCTCATATTGCAATTTTTGCTGTTATCCATCCATGTTTTTACCAGTGCTCATATTGCAATTTTTGTTGTTGTTATTGCTTTTTCTCTGGCACTCCTTATTACTGGTTCCCATATTGTATTCATTTCTATGCTTGGTCGGTTCAGGAAATTTTTGTGGCCTAGCATATGTGCTGATTCCTTAGGTTTACGAATTTTTCAATAATGTTCTTTGTCTATGATCTCAACCTGATCCCACAGAGGGCGGTGATCTCCCTTTTCTCTCCATATGTGGTCAGCCATACCTGATTTTTCCACTTCCCCTCGTGTTACAGCTTTTTGGTTTTCTTGAAGCCTTACCTTAAGGGGGCGACCTGTCTCTCCTTTATATTTCTTTCCGCAACCGCACGGGAGGGCGTGCACACAGTCTTTAGTTATGCTCTCTTATATGGCGGGGGGGGGGTTCTCGAGAGAGGTATCTCCGAAGTGTCGTCCAGCTTAAGACTCCACAAGATATCTTTGGTGATACCTAAGAGTTTTAATATTTCCACCTTGGGCTGGGGAGAGGAGGAATCGAGACACAGATAGATAGATAGATAGATAGAGAGAGAGAGAGAGAGAGAGAGGGAGAGGGAGAGAGTCTCTCTTTTTTCGAGACCGAGACGCAAATAGGGAGAGGTTCTCTTTCTTCGAGACCGAGACGCAGATAGAGAGAGTGTCTCTTTCCCCGAGAATAAGACGCAAAGAGAGAGAGAGAGAGAGAGAGAGAGAGAGGGTCTCTTCCTTTGAGACAGAGACGCAGATAAAAGAGGTTCTCTTTTCTCGGGACTGAAAAGCAGATAGAGAAGGGCGTCCCTCGGTAACAGAGACGCTGATAGAGCGATGGTCTCTTTCCGCGAGACAGAGTCGCAGATAGAGAGAGGGTTTCTTTACCCAAGACAGAGACGTGGATAGTGAGAGGGTCTCCTTTTCCCCGAGACTTAGATGTAGATTGAGAGAGGGTTTTTTTTCAGAGACAGAGATGCATATAGAGAGAGGGTCTCTTGCTCCGAGACAGAGACGTAGATAAAGAGGTTGTCTTTTCCCCAAGACAGAGACGTAGATAAAAAGATGGTGTCTTTATACCGAGAGACAGAGACGCAGATAGAGAGAGGGTCTCTCTTTCCTCGAGACCGAGACGCAGGTATAGTGATGGTCGCTTACCGAGAGACAGAGACGCAGATAGAGAGAGAGAGAGTCTCTTTCTCCAAGTTGGTTACGCAGATAGAGAGATTGGACGGTTACGTAGATAAGGTGAGGGTCTTTTTCTCCGAATCTGAGACACAGATAGATGGAGGGTCTCTTTCTCAGAAACAGAGAAGCAGGTTGTGAGAGGTGTAGAGTGGCTCTCTTTCACCGATACATCGAGGTAAAGGAAGAGAGACAGAGAGGCTATAAAGCGAAAAAGAATTGATGATTGTTCTCGAACTGATGAAAACAACGTTATCTGGCTTATCCCCCACCCCCGGATTTATAAATTTGGTTGATTCTTCTTGAGGGCTTCTTCGAGATTTGGACTACAATAGAAAAGAAGTTTGATATTATATGCCTTGTTACCAAATCAAGTTCGTTATTGTATAAATCTCTATGAAAGCCTTATTTTTCTGAAGAAAATCTGAAGAAATTGAATTGCTGTTGATATTCAGTGATGCTTACCTGATATATTTCTGATATCTACGGTCATTCATCATTAGGCCGAGCAAGTCCTACATTCCATGACATGTTGCTTCCATCAATTCCTGTTGTTCATTGCGTTTCGAAGCTCATTCAGTTTGCATTAAGTGCTTTCAATCAGAGGGTCAATGTACATCTTTGGTCGAGCTTGTATCCTTTCTCCATAGTATAGTATCCAACAAATCTTAGTCTTTGTTGTCGTATTAATTTGTTGATTGCAGGTATGCCGCCGCAGTGCTCTTTCTTTGTTGGGTGATCTTTCCAGGATTTGTTTAGTGCTGTTTGTGTGTAAGCACCATCTAATCGCTTTTCTAGTTTGGCTGTTATTGACCAGGTTAAGGAGCCATATACAAGAACTGATTCTACTGTAGCTTTTCAGTTTTTCCGGTAGATTTGATTTCCAAATCCTGTTCATTTCATTGAGCGCTACCCATGTTTTCCCCAGTTTGATGTTGACACTATTCTAGGTGGAGGCAATATAGCTACCCAGGTATTTGAAGTCGTCTACTTGCTTGATGTTTTCTCTGTTCAAACTTTTTAGGCCTTGATTCAGGCAGATGAACAGTTTTACCCGCATTGACATACAGTCCATTCTCCTGGGCTACATTTTTGATGTTGTGAAGGTCTAACGTTGCCAGCCAGTACCGTTAGGTCGTCAGCAGAGCCAGCATAAGTGATTTTGGCTCGATAGCGTCTGCTTTTTGGTTCAGTGAGAATGAAGCCGACCTGTAAGTTCTTATTTCGGGCTTTTTCTCGGCACACAGTCAAGACTGATGCTGAAAAGAAGACGCAAATGTGTCTCCTTGAAGAATACCTGTAGTAATATAAAAACAAAAATGTGTCTCCATCAGGTGAGTGTATCATGGGACAGGTGTTCTGATACATGATGATGGGATCTACAGTTTCCTCAGGTATCCCATATGCAAAGAGTATTTCTTTCAACTTCCCACGATTAATAGTCAAATGCCTTTGAGAAGTCAACAAACAGGATGGTGGCTAGGTTTTTGGATTGTATGCCTTCCAATATTCATCGAATGATAAGAATCTGTTCTGATGTTGATCTGTTGGCGCAGAAGCTGTTTTGATTTCTCCTCAGAATTGGCTAATTTCAGGTCTTATTCTGTTCAGCAATATCGGGCTGTAGATTTTTACTGCAATAGCTGTTAATGTTAATGAGGTAGCACGACACAGTGTAAAATAAAACATGTACCCTACTATTCTATATACATACATACGTTATATATATATATATATATATATATATATATATATATAGGGAGAGAGAGAGAGGGGGGGCAACCGGATGTCTAGCCACACTGATAAGCTCTGACGCAGCGAAACAGTCTGTCTGGGGGTGATAATATATATATTATATATATATATCTTACTTATTATAAAACGCAGATTGTGTGTGTGTGTGTGTGTGTGTGTGTACGTTAATATATTGGATCGGATTTCCTACATTTTTTAACCGATTTCAACAAAACTTCACAGGACTACTTAAAATTACCTTGCGGTGGTTCTGACAGCGCCAAAAATTGAAAAACACAATTGTTTTTGCACGAAATCAATTTGAAAACACGATTAAGAGTCATCGCTGACGTGAGAATGAAAGTGGGACAACTCATATCGAGTTATACTTATTATAAAACCCAGGTTGTGTGTGTGTGTGTGTGTGTGTGTTCCTTTATATATGGGATCGGATTTCCTACATTTTTCAACCGATTTCAACAAAACTTCACTTTTTTTTGGCAGGTAATGTTTCTTATTGTCTTGCACACTTTTTTCTTTATTTTTACATTCAGAATGCTTTAAAAATTCCATTTACAAGACAATTGTTTATAATAAAATTCTATTCAATCGGTAGACTCATAACGATTGAAAACAATGTTTTTGTTTGAGTTTGGGTTTGGGCTTGACCAATTCGTAAAAAAATAATAAAAAAACAAAACAAAACAAAAATAAAACTAATTAAGACATGCGTGTCCGTCAACCTTAAACAATAATCTTTGTCAATTTTATTTTTCAGCCTTTATGATGGTCGATATTTGATCGATCTCTTATTGTTACATCCCCGGTCAACGCCGGGCTCTACTACTAGTATATTATATATATATATATATATATATATATATATATATATATATATATATATATATATATATATATATATATATATATATATATATATATATATATATATAAACTTTAGGGTCACTGTTAGTTCCGAGAAAGAATTTCTTTAGACTAATAAGATTTTTACATTATTCGGACTATTGTCCTCATCTTTGTCGCCATATTGTAGACTATGGGAAACATGGTACGTGGAACTAGAACAGTCTACCCCAGTGAGCGAAATAAAGGGTTCAGTTTGACATTCCAACCACCTGAAGAATGCCGGAGCGTACAACAGCCGAAACGTTGTAATAAATATGGCGACAAAGATGAGGACAATAGTCCGAATAATCTAAATAGTGTACATAATACCTCATCTCAGAAATATAGATTCTGTAAGATTTCGATGAAAAGAATCACTCAGATTTTTATAAATAAATTGTAGAAAGAAAGACACAGGGATTGAACACAACCAACAATGAAGAAGTTGACATCGAGATGACACCCAACTTGAAATTTAAATTTTAGCCTCTTCTGTATCTAAAGGTTTAATTTACCTAATCTCATAAAGCATTTCCTCGCTTTCGCTTTTCTTTTATCATTATTGTTTTTTTCTTATTCCACTTTGTAACAACAGTATTTTATGAGGAAGTGCTGTCTGATTCTGGGCATAGATTTGCAGTAGAGGATTCCGCTATTAGGGCACTTTCAATACATTTTCGGCTTAAATTATTTTCTCTTAATTAAGACTTCATTCTTTAAGCTGAAAACCTTTTGTAATGAACGACTAATGCATTGGATGGATTCTGATCTGTAAAAGATTTCAGTGGACTGCTGCAATCGACACTGCGACCAAAAATAATCATATAGATTTCTGAAAGATAATGAAGTGCGGTCCAATTTATTTTATAAGTTGATTGGAAATCCCCCCCCACCTAAGGATTCTAGAATAAAGTTGATCATACGACATTATTTTTTAAAGCGTAAAAAAAATTTGAAGATCTTTCAATTTTTTTTTTAGATTTTTGAAATCAAGTGATATGAGTATATTTTTTGTTGGCTTCTGTAGAGGATCAATTTGCAATGAATTTACCTAGCTAACTAGACCCTCCTCCCTATTATATTGCATCAAATTTTATATATCTTTTGATATTCGTGATCTGGAGCGCTTAATCTATAGTAATATGAAAAAACTTTTGGTCGCAATGTCTATTGTACAGCTCTAAGTTTTCTGTCATGCTCCAATAATCTCACCTATGTATTTATTGGCATATTACTGCAGTTTGTATTGGAAATTCATGCTTCTGAAATAATATTGTTATTTTGTCTTGTGTGCATTTAATCTCATTGGGTTTTTTTTCTCAGTAGTTCATATTTCAAATGTAATCGTTATTGTGTTGGTAGTATTATGTAACTAGCTTTATCATGATTGCGTTATTTTCTTTTGTTGTAATGTTGTAAACTTTCTTCACGTTATAAATTAAATAATTGGGATATTGTAGGAGTTTCAGTGTTTCACTTCGTGTAAATACCGAGGGATACAAATTCTAAGTGTTCTTAAGTAGAAACTTTTGATTATTCCGGATTTGATTTTTTGTTGTGGTGTAAGTGGAAATTTATGACATCATTTTTGTTAGTTGATCTTCAGTAAACATTTAATTTTAGATCATTATTCGTGTTGTAAACTATAACCAATTAAAAGTATTCACTACTATTTATCTATTAGATTTGTCTTGATGGTTAGGATTACTGGTATTTACCAGGGCGCCCACCTCGCAACCGGATGTAACACAAGGTTGAAGTTTAAAGTGGGCCTATTGGTTAGGCTGTGCAAAAATTCCTAACGCCCCCCCCAAAAAAAAACACACTCGAGACGCCTCGGGCACTAGGCAATAATCTCAGCTTCCTCTTGAGAGAGAGATACTTCTCCCCGACATTTTTTGACAATGTAAATTTGGAATACTTTAATACGGAAAAAGAAGAAAAGAAATTCACAAAAAAAAGTTAATTAAATTAAGAGTCTTTTTAGTTCTTTGGTGATTCGCTTAGAACGCCTTAGAGAATGGGGATACTTTTGCAATCCTGGTGCTAGTGAAGTTACAAGTTTCTGAGTCATCTCCTTTAGTTGAATCACTGGACACTTGTTGTGGTACATTATCTTCTGATTTTTGTATGTTATTTCCACCTGAATCCAGTACAAGCCTATTTGAAACTATTGTAAATGATTCCGGTTTGGAGATTGTCGTTCCCTCCCCAGCAGGAGCGAGGTGGCATAGAGAAAAAAAACATTTACTTTTCCATTTGGTAATCTAACAAGAGTGTACTCGGGATTCGCCTGAATCAGCTCAACTTCTCGCACAGTTTGTACTTTGCTCTGAACGTAGTTTTTCATAAAAACTTTCCCAGTTGTTCATCCTCCACAGAGTTCTGTTCTCTTTCTACTTAACCGTTTTCCCGTTGGTTGTACGCAGTAGATTTACCAATAGCTATTCTTTTCTCTTGAAAAAAATCTTAACTCCCACATAAAAAAATAGGTTTTCTATGAGAGTATACACAATTTGTCATATCAAATATGCAAAATAATTTACTTAAGCAAGTCAATAAAGTTGTAGCGTGCATGTCCCTACACGCAAAGGTGAAAGGAAAACTATATTCCAAGATGACAGATTATCATGTAATTCATTAAGTTCAATAAGTACGACAGAAGCGAAATGTACTCTCGTTAACGCATCTGGGCCTGCGTTTTTGATGCCAGCAATGAATTCAGTCGTTTTTTAGTCTTCGAAGATTTATGCTTATCGAAAATGTAGGATAGAGCTTCTGGCAAGAATAAAATATTTATCTTTCAGGTAATGACTTCATTTCCTCATTCAATGATCGTATTAGCTTCTTTATTCACAGGTGAGTGGTTTCGTACTGATATGTTTAGAGTTGTGAACCAGAATGCAACAGGCCCGTCTTCATGATTTGGCGTCGCAGCTAAGCTTACATAGCTAGCATCAGTTTCAATTTCAAGAGGTTTTCCTTCGGCTATAGTGTATATCACAGCTCTTTCTATTTCCCTTTTCAGTGGAATCTTTTATTTTAGCAGGTAACAGGAATATAGTGTTGTTTATTTAACGCGTTAATTTTTAATGAATAGTTTGGGATTTCCCTCTGAGCTTTTATATTGCCTAGAGGCGGGAATTTTTCGCACAGGTTTAGGTCTAGTTGAGAGTATATACTATACTTTACTATTTCCGAAGATATCGTTGTAATCTTAGAGAATGGGCATCGTTTAAGTTAAAACAATTTATCATTTGTGAATAATCTATGACTAACCTTTTTCAGTAACCACTACTTGCGTTCTCCACGGAGATGTATTGGGCTCAATGATATTTGAATCGTACATGTTTTTTTTTTATTTCCTTCCTAACAAATGCCTCCTCTTCTTTAGATTTCACAGATATATGTCTATAGTCAAGCAACAGATTTTCAAACAGAGGAGGAAGTGAAATCCTTATACTATCTATTCCACAGTTTTAGTGTTGCTCTATCGCACTCATATAAAATTTATATTTTTTGTGCAGGCCTTAATAGTCTTGTCCGGGGATCACATTAGCACAAGTTATCCTTTAAACATAAATTTATTTTTGTAAAGTTTCCGTGCCCACCATAAGATTCGTTTTACATTTTCCTGCAATGTTCAATAACAAGTCAGAAGAAGCCATGCTGAGATAATAGGTCCAACCCCATAGATTGAGCTATTTTGGTGTCGATAAAACTATGAT